CGATTTATTCCAGGATGTCCCGCCTACGACTTTTTGAGCACTGCTGGTTGTAGCTTCGCTGGGATTATGACTCGTTCGGCAAACAGCAGGCAGTCGTCAATGATTGAAAGAGATATTCTACGCTTGTAAAGCTGTTGAAGCACTGTGGAACTGATCTTCGATGGCCACCCTTCCAGGTGAAAATTTCTAACTTCTTGTAGGATTGGGTCTCGAAGAGTTTCTTCTCTAACTTTATCTGACCACACTGGAATGTTTCGAATAGCATTTGCTACTATACTCCGTATTTCTGGGTCTACTGCTGTGGAGGCAATGATTATGTCCTCTGGTTCAGCATGCTGAACTCCAATTAATCGGGAGACAGCGTCCGCTTGATCGATAGTATTTGTCGATTGATATTTGATATTGAAATCATAAATCAGTAGCATTGTTACAATTAAAGGTTTGTGATCTGTCAGTAGCGTAAACGCACAACCATAGAGAGAAAATAATCGAAAGAGTTTCCTTTCCAACTTGACTGTAATTTCACTCGGCTGGGGTGAGTGGTCTAGCAGCATCGGCAGTTGCTCCAACTCCATGACTAGAGGCGTCAGATGCACGAAACAATTCCTAAGTTTTATAGAGTGATTCTATTTAGTTTGTTTCTTTTTAATTCAATCTACAAAGATAACGTTCACTAAGTGCTTCAAACAAATCCCAAGTTTATCATTATCATTACCCTATAATATAAAACTAAATGAAAACATAACCGGAAAGAATCTGACCTAATGGTGAACAAATGAATTATTGAGAATGCATGTTGTAGTTTAAATACAATTGTAAACGATTAGATGAATTTCTCCAACTTTAGTTAAATGATCCTATAGATTTGAATGTTAACTGAATTGAAACACTAGTTCATCTATTAGAAAGTGTGATTGATTGATTGAGAGCATTGAATCATGTCAATAATTCATCAGTTGAAGCCTGTCCATGTTCACCTAGTTTTTAAACATCGATTTCCTGGAAACCGTCTAGGTTAGTTCTTATTTCCATTATCTAATATCTTTTTCATCGGCTAGTATAAGCCAGTTGATGTTTTGCGCACATTTCTAGTTGTTTCGATACGGTTCCAGGTTTTTTGGCACTGTTCAAAGGATGGTAGTCTAGCCACCTGACTGCAGTCATCCTAGTCGTTTGGCAGTGATTTATGAACTTATAGACCTGTGATTTGGGTGAATGAGTGAGTTTTAAACATTGCAATAGGGTTTCTGGATGCTAGCCAGTATCACAATGTCAGGCCAGAGATCAGTTGGTTGAAATATGGAGAATTATACAGAAAAAATTCTAATAATAACTAGAAGATAAGTGTTTCAGAAACAATTACATAGATAAATAAACAAGTCAGGTAATGTAAGGGGATGGAAGTATAAGGATAAATAGGGAAACACATCAGGAGTGTGCATCCACGACTCCTGCACCCATACCAGGACGAAACGGCCGTCCAGTGCTTCCAGGTTTCTAATGGTGGTCTAACATTGATCGATTCATGGTTACAGATAATCAGCGTGATAGAATAAATTAGTGATCATGATAACAACAGAAAAGTTTCGAGACATAAATCAAGCACAACTGGTCTAAACGACAGATGTTAATGTACATGTTAGTACATATCTATCAAGTTTCTTCTTAAAGCTATCCACTGTCGGGAGACTGTGCTAACTTTGGATGGGATAGCATTATAAATAGGGACAACTGCTAATGATATAAAGTGGGTGTGTATTTGGGTTTTTGGTCTTTGATGTGCAGTTTTTTGAGAGTTACCTCGAAAAGAATAGTGTTGATGTTCTGGTAGAATGGGAGTATTGGGGTGATTCAGCGTACTTAATATTGTAGTATCACATTGTCAAATCACCTGTTATTCTCCTATAGCTCAGCTAAAATAATTCAGTCCTCAGATAAAAAAACTATTGAAGACTTTAAGAGAATTTTTCGTATTATCACATTTAAATTAATTGAAAATGAGGTTTTTATTGTACAATGAATAAAAAAATGTAGCTAAATAAATGAATAGACGAAATTTCGCCAACGATTTTAAATTTCCGCAATTTATACTACCATAATTAAAACAAAAAATAACTCAATTATGTACATTTTTTAAATATTCTCTATACGAAAATACGAAAAAGTATATCCAAAAGTTGACAGCTGTTGATGTTTATTTTAAAACTATTTTATAATCAGTTTAAAAAAAACAGATTTTTAACTTGTACATTTTGCCATATATATATTTAGGAAATCAGATCGATCTATAATGAACTGCATAGAGTGAGGTATTACTTAAATTCATTTCAGTGGTGTGAATACCCTTTTTATTGATTAGACTTTGATCCTTGAGAGGGTGATTTTTCGTTGTTCACTTGGGTGGCGCATGATTTACTGATTAATTTTTGTGTAAAGCTGTCAATATTGGAATAATATCACAAGAACAGATCATCTACAATGGATGATAACTGCATTAAATTTTGAGATGATGGAGAAAACTTGTAGCTCAGGTGGATGTTTAGCAGTTGTACTTCTGTTGTCGTTAGATGTTGCTTCGATAGGTTGACCACACAACTGTTTGCGTTTTCTTCTGTGGGTGGCTTTGAAATCTTGATTAGTTTTTCTTTGAGGATGTTTCTTCTTTTTTCTCTGTGTCGGCTGCTTAACAGTTCGATCGCCGTTGTCAACGTTGTTAAGTGTTCTGATGTAAGTATTCTCTCTAGTTTTCTTTTTTGTTCATCCATGTTGTGCTGGTATTTGTGGATCCTGTAGTGTGTATCGGCGATCATTAATTGTACCATATGTCTCCCACTTTGCTCCGCTATTCGCCATCCCATTGGGCAGTTGATTGGTGGTCTATATTTGACACTTGTTGGTAGAACATGCTGAAGAAGACATTCGTGGAGAAAAAACAGTTGTTCTCGAGTAGAAGCCTGCCTTTTGGCGAAATTCTCCCATTTTCGAACAACGTGAAGCGTATTAAATCGCAAGTCAGTATTAGTTCGTGCAAAATCCGAAGGTCCTGGGTTCGAATCCTGCAAGCAGTAGCGTACTTCTGTTATCCCCATACCAAAAAGAAACCGTCGTCCAGTGCTTTCACGTTTCTAACGATGGTCTAACAATGATTGATTCATGATTTTATTAAAAAAAATACATATAATTGAACGTCAAGTTGGAAACCGTATCTTATCACGTTTCACTATAGAATGTGATATGCTTGCTGAGGACTTATGAAATATCTAGCGGAATTCAGATAACCGTCTAATATTAACAGGAAACAGTATCACATGAAAATCAAACGAACACTTAATCACTAAAAGAATCATATAGATTACCAGAATGATTAAAAATGCTTTAAACTACTGATTCAAAGATTTAGTAATACATATTTACACATTAGCATAATATTTACACTGGAAATGTATTCTTGAATTTTATTTGAAGTTGATCTAAAATGTAAAGTTGAATAGTTAATATCAGTACCGGTATTTGGTTAAATGTTATCATCTTGTGTTTTTTTTTATAAGAAACTCAATCAAATAAATCTGTAAATAATTACGGAATACTTTTATTCAGTGCTATCAGTACCAATGAAATGTGTTTCATGTATCCTGCCTCTAACACTAATATCTTTCTGTCACATAATAATGAGTAGCGTGTGATTCCATATTGCACCAGGAATCAGCATTTTACCGGTTTTAAAATTTCAGGTTAGAAAAATATGAGTAAATACAATGCTAAATTAACCGACTTTCGTTTGACCGAGATCATGAAAAAAAATTAAGGTAGAGAATCATTGAAAAGGTAGAACCACTGGAATGCTGTTTCATCTTAGTATGAGACCCTTTAGAAGTACACATCCATGACATCGATATCGGGATCTGAACACAAATCCTTTAAATTCGAGCGCAAACAATTAATTTATAGACCTGCGAGCCGACATTCAACTGTGTTGATGTCTAACATTCATCAGTCTGAGATAGTGTTAGACCATATTCTTTTGTATTCGGTGGGTACTTCCGTTAGATCTGATACAACTGATTACCACAACCTTCACACTGATATCTTCTGCCATAAGATAATTTCATCTGACTAATCATGTGAATGTATTATCTAGTCAGAAGTATCTGATTGTGCAAGTGCCTAAATTGATGAATATTAATAAAGATTCTGATTGTGAATATTAGAAAAACACAAAAAACTGTTTCCAATTAGATCGTCATCAGTCTAATATTCATAAATATTTATTTGAAAATCGTAAACCACCAATCAAGGCAATATTTATGATTCAATAATCACGAGGATATCGATTACGTAACTACATATAGTAGTTAAAGGTACAAGTTGATAGTAGGAAGATAGGTGTATACTAATGGTAGTAAGAACAATCAAACAACAAAAGTTCCTGTCAATCGTTCAGTATTGGGAGTACAAGATCAAACTTGGACGAATAGATTTAAAATAAGAATTACGAAACATCATTATTATAAATGCAAATTCTTTAGCACAAATACTCTTGTCTTCCTGCTATCAACTTGTACTTTAACCTATTATGTTTAGTGATATAATCTATTTCATTGTGATTAGTGACTCATAAGTTGCCATGACTGATCTAACGTTTTCATGTAAATATCCATGCCTGATGCAGATCTTATTCGGAAACAATATTGTTTGTTTTTATGTATCGTTCAAACGTATACTAGTTTTTCTCAAACTTATTTTGATTCATATAAAAATCATATTACACGTTTTTTGGAACCATGAAACATTTCATCATATTGCACAATCATTTTCTGTATTACAATATAATTTTTATTACGGGGTTGTGATGATTGTTAAGTTACACATTTTTTGGAGCCATGAATCGATCAATGTTAGATCACCATTAGAAACCTGGAAGCACTGGACGGCCGTTTCGTCCTGGTATGGGACTCCTCAACAGTGCGCATCCACTACTCCTGCACCCCGTAGGATCCGAACCCAGGACCTTTGGTATTGTGCGCGAACTCCCTAACCGTTAGACCACTGAGCCGGAGTCGTGGATGTGCACTGCTGAGGAGCCCCATACTACGATGAAACGGCCATCCAGTGCTTCCAGGTTTCTAATGGTGGTCTAACATTGATCGATTCATGGTTCCAAAAAATGTGTAACTTAACAATCATCACAACCCCGTAATAAAAATTATATTGTAATACAGAAAATGATTGTGCAATATGATGAAATGTTTGAAGTTAGACATGTAAATAACCAGATGCCAATTCAGAAGTCTTTGGGTTATGTTTGCATGAGAGAGTTGTGGAGATTGTTGAGTTACTTTTTGAAATCATGAATTGATCAATGTTAGACCACCATTAGAAACCTGGAAGTATTGGACAGCTGTTTCATCCAGATATGAGTGTAGGATTTAATTTTTCCCTACAGATGTAATTCTACAACGGTAAACGCAATATTGGCGACCACAAAGTCTATGAGAAAGCTATAGTTAGAACAAGGCCAATTTTACTCTAAACTTTATCTGTTTCGACCAATATAGTGTGTCTTATGGAAATGAGTCAAGTTATGAGTCACATCAATATAATAAGATAATAATGTCAATCAATTTGTAGGTCATTTACAAAAAAAGAAAGTTTACAGACACGTCAGATCAGATCACGTGACGGGCGCTTAAACCACAATTTGATTGGTTAGTTATGACATAACTACAATTAGTTATGAAAATAACTAACAATGAGACTCATCTGGTCTCAGTCAAGAAACCTGAAAGGTTCAGGTTACTACTACCTTACATAAGATTGTTCAGGAGTCCAAAACTAGGAGAGAACAGACAACCAGCGCCTCTTAGGTCCGCAGTGTAAATTTGTAAAATTCAGCAGCCTTCAAAAACTTCTTCACACAAATAGAAAAACTCTATTAAAAGCAATATTATCATTTATATATGTTTAACTTACAATTCAAGAACAAGTGTAACTTCTTCATCAATTTGATAAGCATCATATAATTGAATTAATCTTGGATGTTTCAATGTATTCATCACAGCAATTTCATTTAATACATTATTCATATCTTCTTCACTAGCGATTGGAACAAATTTTGCAGCAAATTCTCTTCCAGTATTTTTTTCTTGACATCGTTTCACTTCACCAAATTTTCCACTGTAAAAAGGGAAGGCACAAATTACATGATGGATGAAATTCTCGGAGTTCTAGTGCGAAAACGTGACCAAAGGAGTTCAACCCTATCGGGTGTAGGCAATAACTACCAAAGACAAATGGGTGAGGTCGCGCAAAGTCCCTAGGTTAATCAGAGTTAGACATTAACACCGTCGGATGCCGGCCCAGTGGTTCAGAGGTTAGGCGTTCGCGCGCAAGACAGGAGGTCCTGGTTTCGAATCCTGCGAGGTGCAGGAGTCGTAGATGCGCATTGCCATTGATGAGTCCCATACCAGGAGGAAACGGCCGTCTTTCAGTGCTTCCAGGTTTCCACTGATGGTGTAACAATGGTTGGTCATTTCAAATGTATACATACACACATACTTTCTTAAGCCAAAGATTTCATTCGCATTGGGAAAATAAAGTCGAATCGCAAGCGTTAGTTTACACAAGAGTATAGAACAGTCGTTTACTAATCAAATTCAAGGTTAAAGTAGTATCAAAATATCATCAGAAGTATAGCATTTCTTTTATATATTATTATTATCATTATTAATATTATTATTATTATTATTATTATTATTATTATTATTATTTTGAATATGATCTAAAATCTAACATTTTACAGTTCAATCATTGGATAAAAAGAAAAAGAGTATTCAGAAATTATAACAGAACAACTATGACAGCGAAGTATTGAGGAAATGAGGGGATTTTCAGTCAGTTTATCTCAAATTGACACTTGCCTCTCAATTTCAAATACGTCCTTACAATCTTTAAGATTTCCAAGGTATATCATGGCTTTAGACTACTACATTGTTTTGAAAATACACTGTTGCAAAACGTCTTCATCGATATATTTATATTACAGGATGTCAAAGTAACTAAACTACATAACAGTTGTATGTCATTTCTAATTTATTTATGTTCCGAAGCTCGCTCACTTATGGTGTGTTATGGTCAAGTGATCAACATATAGAAGCCTATAAAATATTGAATTATAAGTCATATGTGACTGGAAATCGAGCTAGAAAGATGCTTTTGATGTACTAGTGGATGTAAAGATACACACTAGCCTTAATGAAGATTATTTGATATCGATCAAAGAACATGGCGAGATGATTATTCACGAACGAAATTTGAGAGATATCAAAGTGACCTTGAGAGTATTCACCCAATTACAAAGGTTAAACGAGTGTCATAAGTTAGAGTTGGACATTAGTGTTACAAACTAAAGTCAGGATTTTCTTCGTTGACACAAACTTCACCTCTAGACCACTGAGTCAGCATCCAAAGGTACTAATGTCAATGATGATCGATCGATTCATGATTTCGATTAGCTAAAATTTCAAAATGCTTTATTTAGCGGCCGTTTGATAAATGAATTTCATGTCAAAATTCAAAGACTAGGTATTTTGAATTTCATACGTTCGTCCATAAATTACCAACAGCGTCATTGAATTCATTTATAAACTTATTAAACACCAAAAATGTTACTATAACGCTTTTTTTATTCTGAAAAACTCACCAACAAATTCTTATAATGCCATCAATGTTTTACGTTGTTTTGCATTTTTAAAAAAATCTCTATCAACAAAATGAACGATATGAAATAAATTACACTTTTTCTAGATAATTCACCTTGTTAACTAGAATGATTTGAAGAGACAACTTCAGTGAAGAAGACATTTTTCATCACAAACTGATGTTACTTAAAGAAAGAATATAGTCGATAATCAGGACTGATCAATCACACAGTTTATGTTAAGTTAAGACTTCCCTCCCAAACTCAAAAATGTCCTTATAACCTTTAGGATGGTTAAGCTGTACCTTGACGTTAGACTACTTACTACATTGTCTTCAAGCCTTAATATGAATCACCGTCCATATCCATAAACCGGATTCTAGCGAAGGAAGAAATCAGAATGAAGCGCTGGAAGTGGATAGGACACACATTGAGGAAAGCACCCAACTGTGTCGCAACACAAGCCCTAACTTAGAACCCTCAAGGTCAAGTGAAAATAGGAAGGCCAACAAACACATTACGCCAAGAAATAGAAACAGACATGAGAAGAATGGTGAAAAATTGAACAGAACTGGAAAGGTTTGCCCAGGACAGAGTAGGTTGGACAATGCTGGTCAGCAGCCAATGCTCCACTAGTGGGTAATAGGCGTAAGTAATTAAGTTCGCATCTATCACCTACTACATGATGTCAAAGTAACTAACTACACAAAGCCGAAAACCATACCACAAACATTTTACTTGTAACTACGTAATCAATTCAAAATTTTATCGACTGACTGACTACAAAAAAACGAATTCACCTAGAATCAATACAACAAAGCAAACGGAATGCTTAATTTTTTTATTTGTCAAACTAATGTAAGTTGATTTTGTTCTACTAAGCAAAATTTTACTATATATATCGTTATAAAAAATATACAAAGCGTATTTAGTAGTAGTTGCCTTGATATACACTACTGTTTTCTATTGTCGTTGTTGAAAGAATCTGTAGCCTATAAATGGATCTCTCTACCCAATTGATTTATGTATTTTATTTAGTCTAGTCATAAATTTTAAAAATTGAAATATTTTTCAATACTTTGAAACTAACTATTGAAAATGTAATTTTGTTAATATTAACACCAAAAATAAATGATCGGTGTATCACGCTTACTATGTATGAATACTACTAGTTTTGTAAGGAATAAAAAAGTAATATATGTACGTAGATGCGAACGTCAATGTACACTACTAACTAATGTCTAAGTTTATCATTTTCTGACTAAAATAGGTGTGTGTGTGCGTGCGTGCGTTAGTAGTTGCTGGAAATTTCAACAACCAATTCATTGAACAATAACTTAAAATGTCATTATGAACAATAGTAAAAAAAAACTTGACATAAGTTTTCTTATGCAAGCTCATCGCTATGTGAATTTGAAATAGAATTAATCATGTCATCAACGCACAAATATATTGTGCTGTTTACATGAAAGAATAAGTAAACAATTTTAGTTAAAGATAATAGATGGATGAATGGTAGCTCGTCATGGAATACAAGCTGAACTTTTTTGTCTTTTCAAGACTTGGCAGCTGGATACACCTTAGTACAGCCCAGTGCTAGTGTTTGTATTGAGATTCAAACCACAGACTTTTTTTATTACTTCAAATGCACAATTCTATTATCCACTGAGCTATTGAATCCACATAGGCACTTACTAAACTGAAATGTATACATGGAAGCAGTCCTCACAGGATGTACATGAGTCAATAAATACTGGACAAAATTTAATCGACAGTATTAACAATATAATGATTCAAACCCTCTCTCTAAGTAGAAAGTGGTTTTTGATAATTTGTCCAACTGTGGATAAAAATAACTAACAATGTGAATAGTTATCACTAGATAAGTTAAAATTGATCAGTAAGTACTGTTTTGAAATTACTTCCAGTTTAGTTTATCAATTTATATAGCTTTAATACTTATACCTACAAGAAATAGAATGTTTTATCAGACAGTGAATGAATAGTAGAGATAAAGTGGAAATCTTTGAAGTATTCGAAACCGAGAGAGTTATTGTTATTCCATTCTGCAGTGACCTCTGCCATCAAGCGTTCCAGAATCGATGAAATCGTGGCAAACCGTTTTTTTTATGAGAAATCTTTCTACCCACTTACTCGATAGGTTAATTCTAGTCCTAATTATTTCCACTGACAATCTAATCACTTGTTTTTACTAACATTTTCAGTTATCGTAGCTTAGCCTCACTGACCTTATATGATGATACTTTTAACAGACAAAATAACCATCAATCTTAACCATCATGTAATGAATGCGTCTTGTACTTGAACACTTAGACAGTAATTTCCTGGCAGCTTCGTAGGAAAAGGCTTTTTCAACTACTAACTTTCTCTACAATGCTAAATTCTACTCCTCTCAATAGAAAAAAATACGCTGCATGTCTATTTACACATTTTGAAACCATGAATCGGTCAATGTTAGTCTAACATAAGAAACCTGGAAGCACTGAAAGACGGCCGTTTCATCCTGGTATGGGACTCATCAGCAGTGTGCATTCACGATACCTGCAACTCACAGGATTCGAAAGCAGGACCTTCAAACTTAGCTCACTAGTGACTAGTCCCGTGAGAAATCTTCTCTGAGTTCTAGTGATAACTTGGGACCAGAGGAGTTCAACCTATTTGGGTGCAGACAGTAACTACCAAAGACTGTGTATGAGGTTGTGGAACTCCATGAGTTGATCAAGTTAGATATTAACACCCCTAAATATCGGCTCAGTGGTTCAGAGGTTAGTGTAGGATTTAATTTGTCCTACAGATGTAATTCTAGAACGGTAAACGCAATATTGGCGAGCACAGAGTCTATCGGAAAGCTATAGTTAGAACAAGGCCAATTTTGCTTAAACTTTATCTGTTTCTAAACATAAAAACAATTAGATTAGTACAATAAAAAGGGAAATTACAATTATCAAATAAGACGAGCAAAACGTACCGACCAAAATAGCGTGTCTTGTGGAAATGAGTGAAGTTATGAGTCACATCAATATAATAAGATAATAACGTCAATCAAATTGTAGGTCATTTACAATAAAAAGATATACAGACATGCCAGTCAGATCACGTGACGGGCGCTTAAACCACAATTTGATTGGTTAGTTATGACAACTACAATTAGTTATGGAAATAACCAACTAACGTTATCTTGTTTTGATTATAGCTTTCCTATAGACTCTGTGCTCGCCAATATTGCGTTTACCCTTGTAGAATTACATCTGTAAGACAAATTAAATCCTACAGTTAAACCTTCGCCCACAAGACCGAAGGTCCTTCCAAATAATACTTTACAATCATGCTCTTACTGTGTGTTGTTATTTTGTACAAAACTAATGTTAGTTTTTTTTAAAAAAAACAGTTCCGTGCATTTTATTGGAAATATCGATTTTTTGTCATTTAAAAAAAACTATTAGCTTTGATCTTATAC